ATAATATAATATAATATAATATAATATAATATAATATAATATAATATAATATAATATAATATAATATAATATAATATAATATAATATAATATAATATAATATAATATAATATAATATAATATAATATAATATAATATAATATAATATAATATAATATAATAATGTACACAAAGGAATATATATATATATATATAATTTGTCGCCTAATTGTCGCCTAGGCGTCTAGGCGTCATGGCGATCCATTGGCGCCGCGCCTCGCCTTGGCGCCGTGATAACTATGCTTGGGTGATGAGGTTAAGACTGAGTTTTGGAGGGAAAGTGTAGTTATCCCACTTTACAAGGGAAAAGGTGATATCCAGAGTTGCAATAACTATAGAGGCATCAAACTTCTTAGCCATACCATTGATGGTGTAAACTGTAAATTACCACCCTGGTAAACTACTCTAGACCGGGTCTAGGGTGATTTACTAAGATTAAGAACTAAAAAGATGCAGAAAATAGAGATTGACCGAGAGGACAGTAAATGGAACACATGTAGCCCAATTGTTATTAAGTATGGGAAGAGTGCAGGGAGGTATTACACAATATGTGTTTAGAGAGATGAAATTTGGATCCCTTCCTTTGAGGGTTACAAGGGTATTTATAGGGTAAAGTGGGGGACAAGGCGCTTGCCCTTCTTGAGCCATGTGACGAGGTGACATCTTCTCGTCTTGTAGTGTTTGTCTTTTTCCAAGATTGGCATTCACCATGTTTTGTCATGTAGTGTTTGGACGCATTCGTCAATGCAAAGGATTTGGGGTCTGATTCCTTCCAAACGCTACCTTCCAAAATACGTTGAACTGAAGATATGCGCAAGCTTTGATAAAACAGCCGGGTGTATCTTTTGGGAAGATCCACCCGGTTGATTAATAGATTCTCCCTCATTGACATGCTTTCGTGTTGATGATATCAAGTGTTTGAAATCCACCCGGGTGGTCGTGGCCAACCCGGTCATTCTTCCCGTTACTTTGGTTTCATCCCCTTTAGTTGTACTTTAGTCAACCCGGTTGACAATTGTAGCTTGTGACCCGGTTCATCTCCTGGGTGGGAATATCACCCATCAGAGGTTGTTAGGCAGGATTTAGGACCCCTGGCTCTTACCAAGGATATGGCCTTAGATAGGGACGTCTCAAGATCTAAGATTAGAGTAGTTCGGTAGTCGTTTAGTCTAGGGTGCTAGTTTTGTTCGTGTTGTTGTGTGTTGTGTTGGCTTGACGTGTTTCTTCTTTCAGTTTTCTATGTACTTTATGCCTTATCTTTTTTTTCCTCACCCTTAGTGTACTTTGTCCTCTTGTCGTACTACTTGATTTTTTGTGCTACCTGAGTTGATGGTCTCTTGGAAACAGCCTCTCTAATTTTAATAGGGGTAAGGTCTGCGTACACACACCCTCCCTAGACCCTGCTTTTGTTGGATTCTATTGGGTTGTTGTTGTTGTAAAAAGTAAGGTCTGGGAGGGTGTGTATACGCAAACCTCACCTTTACTCGAAAGTGGAGAGGCCATTTCCAAGACTCCTATCTATAACACGGTCAATGAAAAGCAATAAAGGTTATACAAAGCACAAACACAAATTAAGGGCAAAGAAAGGTGTAGGGACAAGAAGCACACACACCTACAGTGGCAATTAAACTCCAGGCACTGAAAAAACACACGAAAACAAGCGTAAAAGCATCCGCTCAAAACTACCACCAAGGCTTAGAGGACTACACAAGTACTCTAATCCTAGATCTTTAGGTGTTCCTATCTAAGGTCATATATTGGATAAGACCCAAAAGTAAGTCTTGTCTAATCACCTCCTTCTAACTATCCCTAGGTCTTGTCTAATTGCCTCCTTTTAACTATCCATAAGTCTTATCTAATCGCCTCCTTTTAACTATCCTTAGGTCTTGTCTAATCACCTCCTTCTAACTATCCCAAGGTTTATCCCGACCCCCACTCTTGCCCACTACTGTAATCTTATAGCATCTCTGCACTAGGGCCTCTAAGCTTCTTCGTTTCACATGCTCAAACCACCTCAACCTAGCTTTTCGCAACTTATCTTCGACAGGTGCCGCACCCACCTCGCCCCGAGTAACCTCGTTCAAAATCCTACCAATTTTGTCTCCCCACACATCCATCACAACATCCTCATCTTTGCCACATGAACTGGACATGCGAGACTTTTCTTTACCGCCCAGCACTTGTTCTGTTAAGCATAGTTGGTTTTACTATTGCTTGATAGAACTTCCCTTTCATGTTAAATGATATCTTCTTATTGCATAAGACCCCTAAGTCAAGCTTTCACTTTACCCAAGAAGCTATAATATGATGAACAAGTGAGCAACATCCCCATGTATCTCCCCATATACCTGTTTGACCAAACCAAGATACCAAAATTTGTCCCTCTTAGGCACTAAATGTGAATCAATCCTAACTTCCACTTTCGACTCTGACCCTTGGCCACTGAAGCAACATTTCATGTATTCAATCTAGGTCCTACTCAATCTAAAGTGTTTGGATTCTAAAGAATGACGGCACATCTCCAACTTGTCGTTGAGTCCCTCACATGTCTCATCGATCAATATAATATTGTCGGCAAATAACATGCACCAAGGTACCTTCCCTTTGACATCCTGCCACACAACATTCATCACCAAAGCAAACAAGAAGGGACTAGGGGCGAACCTCAATGTAATCCCATTCTTACAGGTTAGAGTAACTATTGATAGTCTTCATCCTAGTCGCCACCCCAATATACATATCCCGAACTGCACGAATGTATGTCATCACGATAACTCTAAACTCTAGGCACCTCCGCAAGATGTCAAAATCTCTCCTGGTCCCATGATGTATGCCTTTTCTAGGTCAATAATCACCATATGAAAGTACTTTTTAGCCCTTTACTCTTCCATTAGCCTGGAGGTGAATGGCCTCCATAATTGATCGACCAAGCATGAAACAAAACTGATTCTCAGAAATGTTTGCTTCCTTCTGGAACCTAGCCTCAATTAGACATTCATAGACCTTAATGCCTCTATAGTTATTGCAACTGAATCCCATAACAATTTCTAAACGATTAAGTGGGGGTGGGGAGGATTTTAGTTAAATCCTTGTTATGCAATCAAGTATTAATCCAAACTTTATATTCCTATTAATTCATCAAATTTCAAACAAAGTTGCAACTTACAGAATGTGACCATATCAATGGAGACTGCTTCAGTGTTGTACTGATACTGAATGCTGAAATCATACAAGTGTTTTGTTTCCATGATGCACGGCCAGCCCAAGTAAGCTCTTTTTTGTGAAGGATAACCATTACAGGCTCAATATAACCTGTAGAAAGACCAATTTCAAACTACTGAATGTGCAAGTCAGTTAAAGTACCTCAACAAATAGAGAAAGCATCTCTCATTATGCAACAACATGAGATATGTTGTGCTATCCAAAGATAGTCTCACATTGGATGTGGATATTTCATGGTTAGAGGAATATTCGGGAGAGAAAAAATCCAAATAGTGAAAAAAATGAGTTGGCTACATTAACCATTCAAATTTATGTCTCGTACAGATTATTATCTGGTGATAACAACAACTATTTATCTCAAAGTATTATTTTTATATCATTACAGCTAATGACTTCTAAATAAAAATTTAAAAAAAGAAAAAATAGCAAATATTTCAAGTCATGCATGGCGTATAATGAATTTCACATCATAAACAAATACTAATAATATGTCTGTTTCATGGTTTGAACCTTAGAATGAGCATATGGGTTTAAACTTAGAGGTTAAGAACAAAGCTAGAAAGGAACTGGCTCGAACAACCTGGAAGTACTATGGCTTAAACATATTTTACTGGTTTGGTTTACTATTATGGTGGGTGCATGGAAATAAGGACCGTTTTATTTTTTGCATTAGGATATAATTATAAAGAATATCAGGATATAGAATACACTTGTGATGATAAATGGTGATTATTTGCGTGCCTTTCCAAATGAGCTAAAGAGACATTTTTACAATGTTTAAGACTTTAAGTAAATCAAAATGGCTCCATTGCTTCTTAGCAGTTGCAGCCTCTCAAATATTTTTAGGGATAAGGTTGCATACAGCTTGATTTCCATTATACTAGGTCTTTTGAGGATGAAGAATGGTGAATCGGTGATTGCCCTTTCCTCAGGACTCTAATATCAATTATGTTAATCATGCAGTAAGCAAAATGAGTGTAGATGTAGTATACCCACCATGAACAAATGTAAAGTCTTTAACATGCTTCACATCAAGATCTCTCAAATTGATGATATAAGAAGACTCAATACGAGCAGAAGATGCACCTCCCGCATTCAGTGCACTATCTTTGCCAATTAAAGCAGTGCTAGCCTAATTACAGAATTCACCAGTCTCAGATTTTAAATAACAAAAAAAAACAAGAGAAGACACCAAAGTAGTACTTTTTGCGAACCTCAGCAGCTTTGAGTATTATCATCTGTTGCTCAAAAACCAAAGCTCCAGCACACTTACCCTGTGGATCAACCTTTACAAATGGACCTCTGTCGAATGATTCTTTACCTCTTCTTAAATGAAGCCAGTCTGGACCTTCAAAACAGTGCATTGAGCTAAAAGCAAAAAACAAGAAAGATGATTACCATGCATTTTAAAATCCTATTCACACTATCTGCACCAAAACATTAGAAATACTCCGTACTACGGCGTAGCTTGCCAGACTTGTGGAGACACCTCAATCAAGAAAAGTACTTCTTAAATTCACTCACCTGGTCCTAAGACCATGTATGGAATCATCAAACTCGAGCACGGAAAACTTTGCATCCTCGAACGCCAAAATTATGGAGTCCCTCCTCCTCCCACTGTCAACCCCTCCAGCTGATAACACCTCCATGGAGTAAACATTGCCGTGTAACCTGAATACCAAAAAAAAATATTATAAAAAATAACTTATGACGATTCATGAATTCATGTGCAATGTGATTTTGAAAAGCTGCCTACTTGTGATGGCAGACGAGCTCCAGGGAAGCACCGGAAATTCCTTCCATCACTCCGCCTCGCTTGGCTTCCAGCGGCTTGTTAGATTCTCTGACAGTGGCCTGTTGAAGCCTAACAGCATAAATTTCTAGGACATTAGCAGAGGAGACGACGAGATTGGGGACAGCGCCAATCGGCTTGGGAGAAGGCCAGTCGGAATCGAGGTCTTCCGTCTGGACCAGGGGAAAGAAATCAGCGGCGGAATGCGTGATGAAGCCGGCGGCGCAGTTCTCTACGCCGGTCGGCAAATGCATCATTCGGTATGCGGCGAAGCTCATTTTTTTAGGTCTCTTTGTCTCTGACACTCAATTCTAGCTCCGGGAAGGGGAAGAAAACCTTTAAACCCCTTGGCGGGACGATGCTGAGAGTGTGGTTTGGTTCCTGGCAGTGAGATTTCAGAACTGCCCTGCCCTAGTATTTAGCGAACGAAATATTGGATTTATATTTTCTTTCTTCCATAATTATCTTCTATTTTTCCAAAATTTTCTTCCAATTTTTTTAATGAAAAAGTTTTGTTATACTAATAATTTTTTCTCTCTACACTAATCATAACAGTACACTTTTTTTATTAAAAATCGTGTATAGCAAAGCAAAAAAAGAAAATCACTCGACAAAGAATATACTCCGGTAATATAAGACTAAGAAAGGTCAAATACAAAGAAAATTTTCAGATAGAAGTAGTACTATTTTATTTTATGAACGAAACCAAGTTTTGATTTTTGAATAATGTTCGTTTTAAAAAACTAGAATTTTTCAATTTTTGCATAATGTTCATTTTAAGTGCAATTGGATCCGCCAAGTGCTAAGGCCACACCATTCTTCACCATAGATAGAATTTTCATACTTTCAAGTGCTCGAAACTGATTCTCTATTTCAATTTTAGAAGGAACCCAAACACAGAATCGCCAATATCAAAACGTTATAAAATATACCATAAGTAGCTAATCACGTCCCTCCAACGACAATAGAACCAGTATAAAATACAAGATCATTTAATTACTGCCATTACTGCCATTACTTAATTATAAATTTGCTTCCAAGATCATTTTTTCAAGTTACAAAAAAAAATACAATCTCCTTCAAAGATGCCAAAATGTGTGTTGTATGAGGAACGAATAAGCGCGGCATATAGCAGAACGCCGGCCTTTGCTAGTTTTCATGGGTTACAACAAGCAAACTGACAATTGCTTGACCATCCGAAGCAGCTGCTATCTAAAGCTCATTGTGATGTCCTTGTCTGTCTGCATAGACCAACAAGAACACATCAAACAAGATGCAATAAAAACCGTTACATCTAAGAGTGTTCATGCATCAACAATCTGCTAGACTCTTGCATTTTTTTAAAATTTACTTCGTATTTGTTAAGATCATAATCCATGACCCCAACTGTCATTAGCTGAACAGATCGAATTTGGATGTGGATCCCCAAACCTGATCCTATCTGATCTGACCAAAGAACATATTTCACCCACACCTCAATCCTTTAGTGTAGTCTATATAGATAGAACACAAAAACTTACAAAGTTAGCTAGCTCACTGGCCTTCTCATCATCAAAACCAAGTGTATCCAATATTATATGCCCTGCAGATTCTGTTTGAGACCAGATGCCAAGAAGAATATGGGCTACTGTCAATTCTCCATCCTGACCTGTGCATTGCAAGAATACAAGCAAACAATTTGTCAGGGAGGTCTACCGTGAAATTCTGGCTCTGACACTAGGGTTTTTTCATGAACTTATCGTGTTAAGTGAAGGGAAGTGTATTGGGAAAATGCAAAGGATTGCCTACATAACACCCTTATTGTAGTCCCTTGAGGCCCGGACCACGCTCCATGAGAATGCTTTGTGCGTCGCCATCGGGTTGTCTTTTCGTTTATAAAACATGCTTCTCACAAGGAAGGTGGTAGTCTAATTGAAAACTTTCCTTTGTTTTAAACGAAGCCTTGGAACACATCTAGGCTGAGCCACAATTTTGCGCCAATCGCCCCAAAAGTAAGCAGTATGTGGCTAGGCCTAGGCGGCTCAATCGGCAAGCCGAGATGCCTATGACATTTTTTCACCACTCAAACTATGTGACATTGCCTGGCCATTAAATGATCTATTTATATTAAATTTAAATATTTGGCAAACAGAAATATAGCGTGTCAAAGCATAAGAGATTAAGAGTCATCATGCCACTGGAGAACACAATTTTCATCATGTTTATAGTTTTTTTAAATATTTAATTACTCCCTTCGTCCGATTTAGTATTCCACTTTCCCATTTTTGTGCGGCTGGAATTAGTTCTCTACTTCTCACATTCAATAAAAATATTAAGGTAAATCTCTAGATAACATATTATCATTGCTGACATCAATGAGTGATAAACTATTAAACTCATTAAGAGAACTTTATAAAAGCTTTCCTTGGCCACAACCACAAGCTGGAACTTTTGGTTGAATTGGTTTCTTGCATGGTATCAGAGCCTCGTTGACCAAATGTCACGAGTTCAAAACTCGGCGTCACCCAGTTTAAAAAAATTAATGTTCAAGTGCAAGGCTCGAACAAAAAAAACAAATCTCGCCTGTACGTGAGGTGGGGTGTTGGAATATAAAACCTTTCTTGGGCCACAAGCACAAACTTGAGCTTTTGGTTGAATTGGTTACTTGACAGACTTATATTGATATTTCACTCTCACACCTAAAATATGAGGTATTTTGGAAAGTAAAAAACTAAACCCAGACGGATGGAGTATTTATTTCCCAACAAAGGCTGTGAATTCAAAGAAGCATATAAACTGTTAGCATATAAAGAGTGGTAGAGTACCTGATTTCAGCTTTGCGTCAACCGCCCAATCAATAGCCTTCTGAGCAGGCTTTGTCAAAGGAGGATGCTCGGGACTGTAAATAAACATATCAGATTTGCCAAGTAGCTCTACAGCTTCATGTCGCACCTTAGATAAGGTGACACCACATTCCCTCAAAAACTTAGCAGCCGAACTGGTTCCTATAAAACAAAATATTTTTTGGCATATTAAGGGTATGTTTGGATCCAGGAAATGATAAGGGGTGGGCATACGAAGAGAAGTTGGTTTCTTGTGTTTGGCTTTAACTTCACCACTGCAAAATGAACTTCTTTTTTGCATATTTATATATTATAGATGAATAAATCACCACTAGTGGGATTTTACTGGGTTACTGTTGTATAGTTGAATGTATCAAATGTGTTTAAGGTTTGAAAAAAAAGTCTAAAATTCATACATTGATTTTGAGTTTATCCATTTTCCCGTCAAATTTTCTTTCATTTTGATTATCCTCCCTATTTTCTTTTCCTAGCATATTCTATGTTCCAAATTGGCCTCTAAAAATTCATCCAACTGAAAATATGAAATGCTAACATCAACACATCTAAATATGCATTGATGCACCAGGCAATTCGAACAAAAATGCTACCTAAGTCCATCGAGTTCTCAATACATTTATCAAATAATTATAATGTGAGCAAAAAAAAGTCATTTTGATGGGATAATTGAACCTTAACCTTCAACCAAGATACCCATGAGCAAAGATTCAGTGCCAGTGGTGAGATGCTTGAGCTTTCTAGCTTCTAATTCGGCCATCTGAAAAGACTTTATAGCCCTGGCAGACCATCTACAAATCAGAGTAAACCTATCATTTGGAATTCACAAGGCACAAACCCAAAACTGTAATTAAATGGAAATGCAACACACTGAAGAAACCCACTTTGGCTCTACCCCATTAACTCTCTCTGCATATCTGCAAAACCAAACAAAACCGGAGTCACAAATGGCACCAGTAACAATATTGATTAACCAAACGCGCAACGTGAGCTTACGAAGATGGGGGATCGGACGTGAGTGTCGCAGCAGCTAAACTGCGTCGTTTAGAAGTGTGGATGCTCAAACTCGAAACACCAAATGGGAGGCCCCGCCGTAGAGATGAGCAAGATAGAGATTTCGGATTGGGAGTGAACGAGTTCTCGGGAACGGAACGTTTGCATCTTTGTGATGGTGAGATCGAAAAGTATGAGAGCGTGCGAGCAGCCATCGGAGTTCCGCTGGAACCCTAATTGAGACAATTGAAACGAAGCTTTTCCCGGCTCTTCGTCGTCTATCAGAGGATTCAGAGCTTTCTTCCTGGCTCGTCTCCCAGAGCCTTCCTTCTTCTCTATCAGGGCGTGTTTGGATATGTGCAAAAAAAACTCTCTGCAGATGGTGTGTGTTTCATGCTCCTTTACTTCCAAAATACTCCATAAGATAAGATGTACAGTTTGACTTGATACAAAATTTAAAAAAATTAAAATATTTGATTAAATGTGATACGGAATATAGAAAATTTGTGAGCCACTCAATACTTTTTTATAAAAAGAAAGGTGAAATTTTTTTAAGACATCTCAATTAGGAAATAAGAAGTCTTTTTTTAGACAAATGGAGTATAATTCTATTCCATCAATTACAATATAAATTTTTCATTCACGATACAAATTATATTCTTTAAAAATAACTAGTATCACACCCGTGCGTTGCACGGGTCATAGTTACGGTACTAACTTAAGATCATTTTAGGAATATAAATTGGTATATAGTGGAATATAGAGATTTCATTATTTTAAAGTACAAAAGTAAAATGATTTACAAATTTTGAAAGATTTCTTTATAAACTACATTACTCGTATGTATAATTTGTGTGAGCATTCACTTCGTTGTATATCAGAATCTTCGAGCCATTGTAATTTATTACTCTTTAAACTGTAACATACACTTTCTCATGACTAAATACCAGTTTCCGTAACAATAATTCAATATGTTTCAGATATTGTTCTTGATAATAATTCAATAATTTGACTTATCTAAGTAATAATTTAACATATTAATGTATTTATTTTGGAATTTGTATTTTTTAATTTTATTTTCGTATTTAAGTGGTACCATTAACTTACCCTATGGTATTTATTTTCTATTTTATTTTAGATCACTTACCATTTTTACGCGTATCCATGCTTGTAAATTATAGTATTAATAGTATTTATTTTAGAATACTTATACCATTGTTACATGTTTCCATGCTTATAGTATTAATAGTATTAATTTATAATTATTTAATTTTTGCATTTAAATGGTACCATTTGCTTAATGTACCATATTTATTTTTTAATTTATTTTATAAAACTTACCATTTTTACACGTTACCATGCTTGTAAATTGTAGTATTAATTGATAGTATTATTTTGTAGTTTTTTATTTTATTTTTTTATTTAAATGGTATCATTTACTTAGCGTACCATATTTATTTTCTAATATATTTTAGAATACTTATCATTTTAATAATTATTTTATTTTCTAATTTATTTAGAACACTTACCTAATTTATTTTAGAACACTTACCATTTATTTTATTTTGTGTTTAAATGGTACCATTTGCTTATCGTGGTGACATACCATTCCGTATTTATTTTCTAATTTTCTAATTTAAACACTTACCTTTTTTAAAAAAAAATGTTTTTAAAGTATAGTATTATTGTATTAGTATTAATTTTGCAGTTTTTTATTTTATTTTCGTATTTAAATCATACTAATTACTTACCAAACCACATTATTTTCTAATTTATTTTAGAACACTTGTCATTTTTAGATGTAATCTCTCTGTCCCTAAAAAGATTACAATTTTTTTCTCTTCTCTCGATAACTTTTGTTTGTTTACGCGATTTTATTAAGTATTTGATAAAATAAAATATTCTTATCACTTCTTGTTTTGTAGAACTTTTGACGTAGTTGTTTAATAATTAATATGTAATTTTTATATCTTATTGATATATCAATTTGTAAATAAAATGATTTCAAAAAGTAAGAAATTTTACTCCATAACCCACAATTTGTAATCAAATTGGGGACGGAGGGAGTATTTTATTTTCTCTTTTATTTTAGAACACTGACCTAATTTATTTTAGAAACTTACCACTTATTTTAGTTTCGTTTTTAAATGGTTCTAATTGCTTACCATACCATATCTATTTATTTTCTAATTAGAACATTTGTCATTTTTAAAATATTTCCATTCTTTTAAATTATAGTATTAATATTAATTTGTAGTTTTTTATTTTATTCTTTTATTTAAATGTTATCATCTACTTACCGTGCCATATTTATTTTCTAATCTATTTTAGAAAACTTACCATTTTTACGCGTTTATACTTGTAAATTATAATATTTTTTAATGATAAATAAATAATTTGTAGTTTGTTTGAAATAAATCATTTTAATCCTGCCCATACTTTTTTAATTTGTAATTTTTAAATTTCATTTTAATATTTAAATGGCAGTGTATTTTATTTCCATACTTCAATTCTCCAATGGTTTACTACTATTTAATTTAATTTAATTTAAATGCTTAAATTGTGTAACATTTAAATAAAAATGAAAATGAAAACATACTTAAAATGGAAGGAAAACATTAAGGTAAAATAATTAAACTACCATTTATGTTGTCAACACTTTCCATATATGAGTGTCTTGCATGGGCGGGAAAAAATTCATGTCTTTTTAAATAATGTATAGATGAAATGGATAATCTATTATTTCCTCCACCCTAAAATGTTCTTCCGAAATACTACTCACATGGTCAGACTCTATTAACTTTCTTTACATATTTTTGTTAGTTATTTGAAAAAATAATATACTCTTGTTACCTCTTGTTTTGTAGAACTTTTAGTATACTTCTTAAATATACAAATTTTATTTTTAAAATTTACACTACAATCAAATAAATTGAATTGGAAATATAGTCGGTCAAACCTCGTAAACAATAATAGGGGTATGAACTATCAATTTTTTTTATGGAGCATCGTAAGATGCTCGTGTCATTGTATGACATTGGAAGACAGTGTCATATAAACCGTGTCAATATAACTTTAATTAAAAGTAAGATTTTTTTATACTCGTATCAAACAAGTGCGGTAATTTTACAAAAAGAAATATTAAAGTCACGGATACAGTATAATAAATATACAAATGCATTGCTATAATGCTATGTGTTTATGAATTTAAATCCACACCCCTCCTTCCGTTTCAAAAGGATTTACCTCTTCACTATTACGTCATTTTGATAAGATTTACTTATTTGTATATTTTCATTGTTTGGTAAGATAAAAATGTTTGGTCAGATCTTGCTTTATATTCCCTCCGTCCTAATATGTTTTCTTCGTTTGTGTTTACGAGGTTTGACCAACTTTATTTTAAATTCAATTTATTTGATTGTAGGTACAAAATTTAAAAATAAAATTTATATATTTAAAACTACATCAAAAGTTCTACAAATCAAGAGTTGACAAGACTATATTATTTTATCAAATATTTAACGAAAATATTTTAAAAAAGTGATTAAAGTTTGACCGTATCAATAGTAACTGGAAAGAACGTTTTAAGACGGAGAGGGTAATTTTTTGTATAATCTATATATATATATATATATATATATATATATATATAGACACATACATATATGTATGTATGTATGTATAAAGTAATCTTTATTTTTATTTTAATATTAATTTGTAAATAAAATAATTTGAAAGACTAAAATAGAAGTAAAACATTGAAAATATATCAAAATATGAGTTCTATGTTTTTATTTTTGAAGTAGGAGTTAAAATTCATTTATAATATTATCAATCATGACCATGTACATTCCAAAAAAATTATAGTAAAATGGCATGTACAATGTCACATTATCATAGTGAAAACTCTATTTAGAAAATAAAAATATAAAGCTAATGTTTTGATACTTTCTTTATGTTATACTTTTATTTATCGTGATTTCTTATTTTTTTAATTAGCTAACATCATTTTATCTTTTGGTTCCCATGACATTGGAAATTAATCATGAAATTTAATTTCAAAGTCAAAATTAACTTGAGAGGTGCAATTAAAATGGGTGGAGGTGTGTTTGGGTCAAGACAGGGTGAGGGCTTACCAAGAGTGTTAGTAAAGATATGAACGATCAATTTTACGAACGCGCATCAAATCACCCCGGGTCAAGATTGATCTGTCATGGGAACCTAGCCCTTATTTCATTACGGAGTAATTTTCTTTTTTACTTTCTCATTTACTCTGTCTCTCTCTCTCTCAAGAAGGCTCGCGATCAGACACAAATCACACAATGGAACATACAACCCATTAATTTTCTGCTTGCTTAACAGTTTTAGCGGCACATGTTCTTGAAAATCTCAACTTCTCAGCGAGATTGGGGAGGGAAGATCTGGAAATTGAAGAAAGAGACGAGCAGTTATAGAACTTCCAGAGGAGAATCGGAAGTGCCGTTCTAAAGCGACATTGCGTGCCTTCAACTGAAACAGCTGATCCGATACAATTCCTTTGCTCCGCGGTAAATTGAAGATTCCGGCGGTCTCGCCTGGCATTTCGGGTTTCCGGTAGGTTCAAATTGTAATTCTTCACCTTTATTCCTGTATTTATTACTATTTTACTTTACTTTTTGAAAAGGAAGAAACTGCAGTTTTTCGCGTATCTTTAGTTGATTGAATGTGAAGTTTATATCATGAGCTTGAGAAGGATTAACGCTAGAATTTGTTGTGATTGTGGAAGTAGAAACTCCTCGCGATTTCTATCGAGGATCATTCATGATTTCCACCTGGTTTTCTGTTTATGCAGATTACTCCGTTGAATTACTTCAATTTCAGGAAGAATTAGGTTGAAAGATCGAAATGCTCTATGAACATCTGAAACCACCAAATCTTTTTGGATCGCATTTTATGATTCTTTTCAGATGTTGAGACAAACAGTTGAAAGCCATTAGTTGGATCATGAAGTCAAATGTTATTAGGGTTACTTCCGCTCAAGGATCTCCTCCAATGAGTTATCCAAAGACACTCTTATCGATTGTGTCTTCTGTTGGAGGCCTCGCCCTGTTCTTACTTCTGGCTTCATCATTTCTCGCCTCTCGGCCCAGTGAGCCTTTTGTTCGTCAGCCTTTTTATCAAGTGGATAGTTCAACAAAGTCTATTTTAGTGCCTGAGAAAGATAGAGTATATACTGGCAGCCAAAATGGTGGCCGTGATGTTGTGACTACAAGCAATTTGAACTTAAGATACCCAGATTCATCAGAATCACAAGAGAAGAAATCTGGCGTTGATGATCAAGGTAGTGGCAATGAAGGTTATACCGAGAGTAACCAATCTTTAGAGCCCAAGGATGAACTTCCCGGCTCAGAAAGAAATGTAGTTCAATCAGTGAATAATAGTGCAACACAAGGGAGCATACACACAGATTATACTAGTTTCAAGAAAGGAAAGACGAATACAACTCTTCCTGCACCCGACACCAATTTGGGTTCTGTTGCATCTTCGTCTCCTGCAATCAAAGCCAAGCCAGACACAAGTTCTGGTGTGTATGACATTTTTTTATCAAATCACTCAGTATCTGTTTGGTTGCCAAAGGAGGCTTACTTTGCCTAAAAGATGAATATAATTAGAATAAGCAGAATAATGCATCTTTTGACTTACCTATTTGGTTGAAACAGGTGTTAGACAGTGCTTTTTGTGATCAGAATAATGAAGATTTTTGACTCGCCAAATGTTTTTCCTTTTAGTAAATTCAACAGATTCTACTATTTCAGCCAAACAACCCATACAGAGCAGTCTCTTAATTGTAACTTTTAATAACACTTGGTCATGTTCCATGATGTATATGTTGGTTTTACAATATATAGGGGGATGCAAATAATAATCATATCAGGTAAAACCTGTGATGATCACCGTTTTGGAATTTCATCTCATTCAGGGCATTTGGCATAAAAATTTGCCACCATGATTTTTCCTGCATGAATTATATGGCTGTCTAATTTTTGGAAATTACTTGTCTGTAATTTTATGTCACCAATCCAAATGTAGTTGAAACTAAGGTGATGATGAATGATGGTGGCTAGAGGACTATCCTCGATCACAATTTGACGAACAAGCAATATAAGTAGGTTGTCGGAGTAAATTCTTGCTTTTCAAATTGACAGCACTCTGAAGCATTTAATTGGTCATGGTTCTTGTGCTAAGAGAACCACACTCTAGTTCCAAAGGTGCATTTTAACCTCTTCATTTTGGAGTTAGTTTTAATCTAAAATTTGGTTATTTTTCAAATTATTTCAGAATGCAATCTTTACCATGGAAAATGGATCTTTGATTCAACTGGACCATTGTACACAAACAACTCCTGCCCTGTCATAACACAGATGCAGAATTGCCAGGGAAATGGAAGGCCAGATAAAGATTATGAGAACTGGCGTTGGAAACCTGACCAATGTGACCTTCCTCGGTTCAGTCCAAAGGAATTCTTGGAATTGATGAGAGGGAAAACTTTAGCATTTATTGGTGATTCAGTTGCTCGCAACCAGATGGAATCATTACTGTGTATACTTTGGCAGGTATAATGTGTGTTATTGCTTTTTCTTATTGGGTTAGTCGAGTGTTTACACACACATATGCAAGTATGTGTGTATGTTTGTTTATCTGTATGTGTTGCAGACTTGTGTGCTGAATTCCTTTTAAATAGAAATACCTATCTATTATTACTTTCTTTGATACTCCAGTCGTTCAAATAGATAAGCCACAAAGATGTATATCGTCTCTCATGGTATTTGTTCTATTCCATTATATCTTCTCGCCTCTCTGGGTAGAGTAAGATGTATGCTACATAAACCCCCCTAGGAGTAGACAGACTTTTCTATGAAGATCTCATCCTCATGATATGTGTTGTATTCCACTATGTCTTCTTATATATCCAATATATTGTGTTAATTATCTTATATCTACTTCTGCTCACTAGCGAGTAGTGGCTATTTATCAGCCACCATACGAATAGTATCTCATGGTTCATCATGCTTCGTTTATTGAACAAGTTTTGAGATGAGTATTAAGTCCCAGTTCCATAGTGGGATAGATCTATCTTTCATATCTTTTGTCTTTGTTCTAACTTCGTTCCTTGAGTATGAAATACTTGCCTGTTCACTGTTTTTCTTCCATTCTTTTTTTTATAGTTTGTATTAATGACTAAGTACTTATGGTTGTTAGAGTGTTGACATTTGACACAAGTTCGAATACTATGTTTCAACACTCAAGACTAATCTTTGGCAAGAATCCAAACCATAGCCCACTCTACGAGTATAACATGTAATTTAATAAGAAGAGGAACCACATTATTACTACCAAAAGAGCCCTAGGTTGTCTCTTTGGCTTTTACACCATATCCTTTTTCTATTTCCTCTTAGCTCTAGAAAGTATCCTCAACAATTGCTTCCAAGGCGTCTTTGTACATGTAAACCTGCCTACATCAATGAAGAAGGAAGTTGTCTCTCTGTCATGGACTGAGTGTCTGAGTGCCTTGTTCATGCGACTTTTACAATGAGAGGGCTACACCCTTGATTATGGATCTCTATATTGTCCACTGTCCAATGAAAAAATAAACCATCCCTTTTGGTTTGGCTAAGCCCAAAAGGTTCACAATGACAAATCTTGTGTTCTTTGTATAATTCATATTCTATTCATGTGTTTTTGGACTAAGGGGCTGTTTGTTTCAGCCTCTTAATGGTTCAGATGTCTGAATGGTTCAGCATTTAATGGTTCAGACTGTTTGTTTCAGCCTCTTAATGGTTCAGATGTCTGAATGGCTCAGACATTTGCCTCTGAATGGTTAAGTATTATACAGAGTCTGAATGGTTAAGACCTCTTATCTGAATTGATCAGACATTTGCCTCTGAATAGTTAAGCAATATACTAGCTCTTAATGGTTCAGACCTCTTACTAGTTCAGCACTTAATGGTTCAGACCTCTTACTGGTTCAGCACTTACCTGTTCAGAAGTTGCCAAACAGCCCCTAAGTGTGTATTGGGTTGGAGAGGAGGAGAAGGAAAAATGCTCCTTTTCCTTCATTTGGTTCAAAAAATTTGGAGGAGAGCTAGCATTTCTCCTCCCTCCCCTCCAACCGAACACACTTCAAGCCAAAAGTTACCTTCCCATTTTCTTCGACAAACCAAACAAGGTAACATTAACTAAACACTCCCTAAAAATCAATTGTTCGATCTGGACTTTTGTTATTATAGATCAAACATCACGAAATAGTATTGCATAGATCTTATTCAGTTATTTGAAAAACATTGAAGACGTTTGGCTTCTAAGAGGTTGTTCTCTTGTCTACTCTAAAAAAAAATTTGGGAAAATTACTTAGATACTACCAAAACATAGTCAGTTCCTCATATAGTACCATAGTACAATATTGAGAAAGAGACTATGTTTTAGTACTATTTAGTGCAAATTTCTCAAAAAGTTTTACTTGGAAACTACTCAGTACTCACTTTTCGTTCATTTAATATGGTCTAACTTAATCGGACACGAAGTTTAAGATGACGAAAATAATGTGGTTGAAATCTGTATTGAAAAAGACATGGTAGGAGCCACCTTTCGTTTTCAAAAAAAAAAGAGAAATGGAGAATAATTTTGGAACAAATGGAAAAGTAAAGAATAAATAATTTACTAATTTAGGGACGTGCTTGTGTGTCTTCTTTGTTGGTTTGCTTTGACTGTGCTTAGGGTCTCTTGGAAACAACCTCTCTACTTTCGAGTGGGTGTAAACAAACTTCCTCCCTAGACCCTACTTGTTGTGGGATTTTAGTGAGATTATTGTTGTTATTGTTGTTGTTGTGTAGGGACGTGGAGTGATCTTAGGCTGACTTCTTCTATTTGCCTATTTGGGGGCATTAGCTCCAAAGAACCGTGTGCTTAGATAAGCATTTAGTACATTTATACACAATATATACATACTTGGTCACACTGAGTTGATGCATTGTCAATGTCTATGAAAGTTCAAAATTGCTAATCGTGTACCATCTAAATTTGCTCTAATTATTTTGTTTAATGATTAATCTGTGTGGGCAGTATGAGGCTCCAAAGAACCGTGGGAACAAAAGAATGCAACGTTATTATTTCAGATCAACATCCACCATGATAGTTCGAATTTGGTCATCTTGGCTGGTCAACCAGACATCTGAGCCGTTCGATTATGCACCAAAAGGGGTGGCAAAACTCCACCTGGACGTCCCGGATGACGTCTTCATGGAATTCGTGCCCCAATTTGACGTTATCGTCCTCTCCTCCGGCCACTGGTTTGCCAAGCAATCGGTTTACATCCTGGAAAACGAGATCGTCGGGGGACAGCTCTGGTGGCCCAACAAATCCAAACCGATGAAAGTCAACAACATCGAAGCATTCGGAATATCCGTTGAAACAATCCTCACCGCATTGGCCAAACACCCAAAGTACAACGGTCTCACCATCGTGCGGTCCTTCTCGCCCGACCACTACGAGGGTGGGGCCTGGAACACCGGAGGATCGTGCACCGGAAAGACTGCTCCGGCGGCTGACAGCGAGCTTGTGGAGAATGGGTTCACTAACATCATGCATGAAAAACAGTCCACCGCGTTTTCGCGCTCCGTGGGGAAGAGAACTAACAAGTCTGCTTTGAAGTTTATGGACATTACCCGGGTATTTGAGTATCGTCGTGACGGGCATCCCGGGCCCTACAGAAGCCCAGACCCAAATAAAATCACAAAAAGAGGGCCCGACGGTCGGCCCCCACCACAGGATTGCTTGCATTGGTGCATGCCCGGCCCAGTCGACACGTGGAACGAGATGGTATTGGAACTGATAAGAAGAGAGTTCAAAGACAGACAGGTACTTGACTAATGACATTGTGAAGGGTTTTGTATGATATTAAACCATTGCCCTTAGTTGGTCATATTCTTTACCCACAGATATATGTTTTTTTCCACATTTGGTCATGAAATAAGATCACATACCATTCTTTAGTTAGTTGTACATTTGAGTATAGCCATATATGTTGATTTCTATAAGATATCAATGGATTTATGAAAAATACATTTGTTCATGTTCTTCTCCATATTATTCCCATTGGGTCATGGTAGGGTGCCCCAAATAGCATGGGTGCACTCAAGCTTCGCACAGATGTACGACACAAATGATAATCATATGTACTAAATAAATGTGTACTTTTAAAAAATTATATTTCCAAGGATTTAGTTTTAATTTTTCACAAAATAAGAGCGTTACTAGGAACAAATAAGTGCTTTTAACAATGAAGTGAGCATTGTGTAATCATTAAATGTATGTATGCATCAATTTTATAATGTAGATCCACTAAACATGGGCAAGGTTCCCATGACATTGGAAACCAATGTCATGGGCGGTTAGGAGGGTAGGAACCGTCAATTTTACGAACGGGACATCGGAGTGGTCCCGGGTCATCCCATGACATTGGTTCCTATGACGACATTGGTTCCCCTAATATACAAATAGATAAAGAAATAAATAAACGCATGAAATAATAAGTATTGTGTAATTTATAAATATGCATGTAATAATAAATGTACAATAAATAAATATTGTTCATCCAAATTTAAAATGTAAGAACTCTATGTTTTTTATTTTATGAGAAAAGAAAATACTCTGGCACTGTGTATTATTTAGTGATCATCCAAAAACAATAATTTTGGTTAAATTTGTTTTGAAAAACAAAAAGGTAAAGAAAAAAAGAAAGAAAAAAATAAAATAGGCGAAGATCGAGGAGTATTTTTATTGTCATATTTTTGTTTGAAATGTGTTTTTTGTACATATATATCATGTTCCAATATATATAAAAAAACGAGTTTAGCTGTCAAACAACGTGTATATATAATTAATTAAAACTGTTAATGGCGTTTGATTCTTTGAGAAGTGTTTCAGCAATTATGATAAATGGATAATGCAAATCAAATCAGCATTTTACAGAACCAAATTGGACTATTTTTTTTTCTTTCCCTTTTTCTGTTTTTGAGAACAGACCGATTGGACTATTCAAAAGCATGCGGATTTATTTACTTTATCTTTATTAGAGTAACTTCTCGGGGTATAATTTTAGCTCCCTACTTTGCTGCTAGGGCACATTTTTACACTACAAAATATTAGGGAGTACTCTATTTATCCCAATTTAAATCGTCCATTTTAATTTGTCATATTTCACTGAAAATATTTTTAAATCTTTTTATATGAAAAAAGGTCTAAAGTTAAAAAATACGGAGTAAAAATTACATACTTCCTCCGTACAGTTTGATTTTTTTGGTCAAATTATGGCCTCCTTTGACCATAAACTAAATAAAATAATTAAATATTTTAAAAAATTTATATTTAAAAAATATATTTTAAAATAAACTCAAATTTACTAAATTTACATTATAAGTTATAATTAAATATATTTTTTCCATAATTTCTTGTCAAAGAATGTCATAATTTGACCAAAATAGTCAAACTGTGGTAATCTTTTAGAGACAGAGGGAGCATTAAAAAGCTATATCAAAATATCTACAAAACTAGTAGTGACATGACTATATTATTTTATCAAATGACTAACAAAAATAGAGAAAGAAAATGAATAAAGTTTGACCATGTGATCTGTGAATTCTAAACAGCAATTTAATTTGAGACGAAAGGTGTAATATTATATTAAAATTATATACTCCGTTTTATGTTTCAAAAAAATATACTCCGTATTAATTTTAGAATATCATTTTATGTATTTTAGTTTTCTATAATAAGGCATACTACCTCCGTTCATTTTTTATTTTCTCATTTTGAATAACGTACGGAGTATAAAGTATGTTACGGAGCATATGCATACTTTTACAGATATTTTTAATAAACAAATGATAATTATGCTTCACGTACATGTTTAACACTTATACCTAAAAAAATACAATAGAGGCATAAATTCAGTATGAAAATAAAAGCAAAATACACGGTATAGATAATAAAAAAGCTAGATGTTTTTTTACATAAAAAAAATTAGGGTTTAATAATGATGTACAGAAATTAAAAATTGTAATAATCTTTCTTTCAAAGTAATAAAAGAAAAAGAAGATGGTGAAGAGTTCTAAAAATGTAATAAAGTAGTGAAAATTATTTTACTCAATAAAAGATTAATGAGTTAGATGATAAGTGTGCAAATTATATAATAAGGCCACATCACTCAAAGATGCATATATAATATACGGAGTATTAATGAATAATTTTGTTTGCCAATAATAATAAAAAAAAGAATCAATTGAAGCAAGAACGAATAATATTTTTGTAGGAGCAAAATAATAATTTCGCATGACCTTTAGTCATCTTCACGGTGAACCTTTTGCGCAAACCAATAAATAATTTTTTTTAAAAAAAGAATGAGCCCCATCCGAGATGTCATTCGGACCCGGATAGACGGTCACTAGCAAGAAGAAGATTAGACTTTAATCGCAGATTGATGACAAACAACAGAGTCTGCAACTAATACTTACAGAGACTCTATGTTAGTTTAACATAGTTGTTTCACAACTCAGTTATCATGAATCAAACTCGTGCAACGATACACATGACTAATTTGAATGAGTTAGTTGAAGGTATTATATTGAGCTGAAGTGTGTTTTTAAAAAAATATCACGCTAACGTAGACATGTGCTCTAACTAAAAAGTACCTTAAATAACATAGTGATTCTATGGTAAACATAATGTCTACATTAACATGCTCGCATATTTCTCTTCTTTTAGTACGAAGTATATATGAAGGTCCATTATAGACCTTATTTGGTACATGTAATAATTTGCTTAAATTAAAAATATATTATTTAATTTGTATATTCTTCGTATATGGTTATTAACTTTCTTAATTATGTATGTCCAAAACACATGGCATCTCATTTAATACTCCCTCTGTTCAGAAAAAAGACTCTCAATTTAACTTGGCACAAAGTTTTAGAAAAATAAAAATGTATGGTTGAAAGTAATATAGTAGAGAAAAAAATTGTGACTCATTCAAAGTTTTTCATAAAACGAAAGAAGACTTTTTTACAAATTAATGTGAAAAAGTAACACTATATACAAATGAGATATACCATTTGGTGTAACCTAACATTATTCATAAAACAGAGGGAAGAAGGATATAAGTTGCAAAGTTGACTTAGCTATAAATGGGTCTATCCCTCACTTAGAAGTAGGTGATTTTAATTTGGGAAATTGTACCACCATTAAACCCTAATCTTTTACTAATTGTCAATCTTATGCAACGTGGAATACCTATTTACGGCCTAAATAATAATAAATCCAAATATTTGTGCAGAAATTTAAACCATGGTGGCATTCTCTGTAGAATTTTCAAATATAAGGGTTAAAGTTGTCATTCTCAAATTCACCTAAAGAAGACAAAGTAGATGCCTGAGGTGGGAAAATAATTAAATTGGCTCTAACGTTTACTTTACAACTTTTATTTGCAACTAAAAATTCATTAATAATTAAATACTCCGGGGTATGAATTTAAAAATTGTGGGGGGATTTCCTACATACAAATATCTCTCCTTTTAATATTCAATAAATTTTTTTCTAACTTTTCCTATTTTATAAAAAAATCTCATTTTTATTAAATTTCCAAGACGGACTTCAAACCATGTGCTCAACCAAAGTTTATTCTTTTAATATTGCAAATTAAATATTAGCCTTTAGTTACTGTATTTGTCTTTTTTTTTCTCAATTTAATCAAAATTGAATATTAATTTATTTTTTCCCAGCTTTATTTCCACCCACTTTTCCGGCAAAACCCTAATTTCAGACCCCCATTCATCAACAAAAAATGGAGTAATTGTGACTTCATCTCACCAAGTAAAATTGGTTGAAAAAAAAAGAAAGAGAAAAAGAAAAAAAGATAGAAGAAGCTCATTTTGTTCATCAGATTTTTAATTATTTACAGCTTTTACTTTGTACTGCAATGGTTGGGGTTACGCTAGGATTCTTGGAATTGAAAATTTTACTAGGTGTTTTGTAGAGATTTACAGAGCTTCTTCTGTAGTGGGCTGTTTACCGTAAGCTTTTCTAGCTTCTTATTTCTCAGTTTTGTTTTAAAGATTAAATTTTTATTGCTGGAGTTTTGATCTTGAAGATTAGGGTTTTAATCTTCATAAAGTTATAATAAGGGTTTAAGAAGTGATTATTTGGGTGTATATTAATGGAGGAGAAAGGTGTAAATAGTTCAGGCGACACAGTGAAAGGAGATGAAGGTTATCAGATGGTGGGTCCGAGGAGCGAAAACCATGGGAGCCAGTTAATGACTGGATCGACGGCGACGCCGTCGAGCAGTGCAGCGGCGATGGCGGCGGTGGCGCCACCCCCTCCTCAAGCGGAAATGATGATGATGAAGAAAAAGAAGGGAAGACCCAGGAAGGACGCAGCACTGTCAATGGCCCTCTCCCCAATGCCCATTTCTGCTTCGATTCCTCTTTCTGGCGATTATTCTGCTTGGAAACAGAGTACTAATCGCCCCACTGGTTACTCAAAGAAGAAACATAAGCTGGAATTTGAAAACCCAGGCAAGGAACACCCCCCCACCCCCTCCCCACACACCCACCCACCCCACCACTGTCACACA